CGGCGTTGGGTGCTGCTGCTGCTCCGGGTGCTGCTGCTGCTGCTGCTCAGGGCTTGTAGTCTTCTGCCTGTGTGCAGCTCTGCCATGTTGCTGTGAGAGCCACGCAGACCAGGAACAAAGAGCAGCGGGTTGTAATGTAACGTAAGGCAAAATGGCCGATGGTCTGTCATGAATGAAAGGAGGCGTAGACACACAACAAACACACTCCAGGCAGAGTACTGACCACCTGGAAATGAAAAGGTCAGAGATGGACTGGGAATCCAGATCCAGATCTGAGCCTCAGCTGGTCCTGGAACCACAACACACATCCCAACAGTCATGTATTTATTTATGTATTTACTAACTGTTAACTATTATCACATTGGCCTTTTTCAGTCTTTAGGGGGAAATAAGGTTGCAGTCGTTACTGGTAGGACGGAAGGTCAGAGGTTCAATTTCAACTGCTTGTTATTATGTTTACAGAAAAGATACTTAAAGTTAGAGTATTCATTAAAATAGTCACTTATTTAGACAGTAGAAATATATTTACGGTGACCTAAATATCTGTTTCTGTGTTCCTCTGCTGCCATCGGATGTCCGCCAACTGATGAAAATTATACATTATACAATTATATATGATAGATGATGAGGAAAAAGCAATGGGGTGGGGAGTCATCTCAAAGGCAGAAGTTTAAATATATATATATTTTTTTAAAACTTAATTTTTTAACTAAATTATTTAGACGTCAGATATCAGCAACAAATCATACAACACGTTTCTTCATTTGATCTACTAGCAAAAATACTATCAACATGAGCCTATCAGGACTTCAAACGCAACATCTTTTTTTAAAGGCCAACAAAACTGATGTGAAACGAAGACACTGAAAATGCATTCGTATAAAACAAACACAACGGCAAACACATACCAAAAACACCACCAACAAAATGTTTGTTTTGTCTGCATATATACATTTACAGTATACACATACACAAATATACATACAGTATATGTATATATATTTACATACAGTATATGTAAATAAATAAATATATGCAGATATATTTATAAAGATACTCCACTCATACTGCACACTGAATGATGTGTGCATAAATATATATATGTGAATATATATATATATATATGAATATATATTTACAAATATATTTATGAACTCCACTGCATTCAATTCTGTTAATCCCTCCAAGTGCCATCATTTCCAGGCTGAGAGGAGCCACAGCCAGCCACCCTAGAGCAAATCTGCGGATTTGTCCCCACATCATGCGAAGGTCACGTCCCGTGTTACATAACCTTAACGCAACGCAAAATCCCACACAGGTTCACACAGCCTTTCACCAGCCGAGGCATGAATGTGGATACACATCTCTACATAGTTGGCATACCTGACATACTGCTGGTACGAGCTGAAAGTGCACAGAGAACTGGACACTATCGTTGCAGAGAGGCAGAAAGCGAGAGGGAGAGAGAGAGAGAGAGAGAGCGAGGGAGAAGGGGAGCGACTGATGGGCACGGTACGTCTGACTCATTCTGTTCTCTGCTACGGATCTGCACAGGTGAAATCTAACCGCGGCTCCCACATGGGCCTGGACAGGGAGGAAGATGGAGATGATTTTGGCAGCAGCAGCAGGTTAATCAGTGAGCAGTGAACCTCCACACACTGATAGCACACACACACACACACACACACACACTCTTAAATCTCTCTCTCTCCCGGTGCCTTCCATCTGCCTGTTATCTGTTTGTTTGTGCGGCCGCTGGAATGTAAAGGGTGGAGCTGTGTGTACGTGATGGGAGGATGAGGATGTTCTGGGTCTGATGTGGATTCACAAAGTCAAGGGCTTGTCCAGAGCGACGGAGTCCAGGACAGGAGTGTAGTACAGGTGTCAGGGTGGGGTCAGGGAGGGGACAGGGGGGACGGGGGACGCCGTCCTTTAGGTGTTTTCTTGATTAGAAATCAACCTTTCTGTCTCGGGGTCAGTCGTCCTGAGCCTGGTGTTGGTGCAGCAGAGTGTTATTACCTCAGGCTGTGGGTAACAGCTGGATTAGAAGATAAAGTCTGGGTCTGCTCTCTTCCATGTGCCTCGGAAGTTAACAACTGGGAACAGAAATCCCATCATGTCTGTAAAAACAAGTGGGATGCATCACAGTTCCTAAAAGGGGAAAACAAGATGGCTGCCATTAAAAGAAAATTCTATTTCTGGGCACAGACAGCTACAAACCAGGGTACAGTGGGAGGGAGTGGTGTTCAGAAATAATATCTACCTAAATGACACAAACAGAGACATAAACAGAGGAATTAACTGGTAAAAATATAAATCAAACAAATCAAAGATGTAACTATAACCCACGGGAGGTTCAGGGTTACCTCAGGAGCAATGTGGGTTCAGTTTCGTCATTTTTTTTTACTTGTGCAAAAGTTGGAAAATGGCACATATTCGTAATTTTACTACCTTTTTTCAGCAGTTTTGGAAAAATGACAGGTGATTGGATGCGAGGTTTACGCACTTTTGACAATTTCTTATTCATAACAGTGATTGACAGGTCTGTGAAGATTCTCAGTCATCCAGGTCACAGTCAAGTTTGAAAGTTCTGTAAGGAAACTGGACGTGGATTTTCTCAAAGAAGACGTTTCACCTCTCATCCAAGAGGCTTCTTCAGTTCTGAGTGAGAGACAGATTACTGAGATGGCACTAATCATAAACAGGAAGATGAATCTAATAAACATCCTGTGTAAACATCATCACAGGTTTCACTTTTTCAGTTATTTCTGTCAGAAAATAAATCTTGGTTTTTGATCAGTGTGGTTTTAATAAGAAGAGAGAAAAAAACCCAGGTTGGAGTTAGTGTGTGTGTTTGTTTGTTTGTGTTTATGCCCGTGTGTGTGTGTGTGTGTTGAATGGCCTGTTGAATTCGCTGTGGAGAAGAACTCCTCCGACATCTCTGTGGTCAGCTCTCCTCTGCCTACTTCAGCTTGTGATGACGAGGTCAAATGCCTGCCATGATTTCATTAGTCTGATAATTCCTCTGCAGGGAGAGGAACCACATACACACACACACACACACACACACACACACGTACAGGCAGGAGTGACGCCGCCATTAACATTTTGTAAACACGGCGGTTGGTGTTGTCACACAGGAGCTGCTGACGGTCAGGAGGAAGCTGCTGCTCAGTGGGCTCCATCATGGAGCTCCTGGTTCATGAAGCTCCTGGTTCAAGGAGGTCAAATCAATAGAAAAACGAGTGTCTCAAACATGCAGAGTGACTGTTCTGATTTTATTTCTTATAAATGTATTTAAAAACTCCCTTGGATTTAGTTTCCCATTTATTGCTGTAGGAGTCATTTTAATTATCACCCGTAAATGTCCTGACTGTTTTACTGTGAAACGTATTAGTCATAAACATTTGTTAAGGAAAGCTCACGTGGTTGTCACCAGGTGTATGACACAAACTGGTACAGACTAGTCTGGGGGGCGTGTTGATACAGTAAGATGATGAGTATCACCAGATCTTTAGACAGGAATTCATTTCAGAAATGTTTCTGGTTATCTCAGTTTTACTGTATTTCACAAAACAGTGCATCGTGGATAAAAAGAACCTGAATCTGAGCACTGACCCACATTAGGAGAATGTTCCAGAAACTCGATAGCGAGTCACTGCAATGACTTAGCATGGATATTGGTTTACAGATATTGTTGATAAGAGAATTGTTAAAAAAACACACCTATGGAAAACAGAAAAGAGCCTGCCCTATCTCAACACACCTATGGAACTATAATATTTATCAGAGCCACTGATAAGTAAGAGACGGGGCAGTGGGATCAACCGATGGTTCAGGGGCTGGAGACAGGAGCGCTGTGTGGTGGAAGACAGGAGCTTAACTGGCTGATGTTGGACACTGGAGACACATCTGTCTGTCAGACAGGAAGAGAAAACAGAAAAGAGCCTGCCCTATCTCATGGAGAAGGTTGGCGTAACTGTAGGGACAAGGTCAAAGGTCAGACCGAGATGGTTTGGTGGCAACAGCTAAAAGAAGGCTATTCCAAAAACCAACACATTCAAACAATAACAACAATGTTGCGTTGTTAATTTCAGTGATGGTTTGTTTATATTTTTGCACCCTGAATTTTTTTTGGTCTTTTTTGTCCCGTTCAGAAGACTGAAGAAAAAAAAGTTAAAAAGGTCAAATTGAAAACAAACATTTTAAGACTAAAATGTTATATTAGTTATACATTTCATCAAATATTAGTCTAGTTTGATTAGTTCAGGTAATTAAACTGACCAAATGTATTGAATTGAATTAATTCTAATTGAATTAACTATTTTGATAATATATGACATATATGTATATAAATATATATGTCATACATGTCTATATGTCGCATATGTATTGAATTAAATAACTCAATTATGTGAATTCATGTATTATTATATGGATATATATGCACATATATGTATATATTTGTTGTATTTTTAGGTCCAGTGACTAAACTATTATGAATGAATATTGTTAATATATCAGCATCTAAACTTGGCTTGTTAGTTCATGTGTGTGGTATTATATTAGTGTGTGGCCAGTAGAAATCATCAGCTGCTGTGAATATGAGTTGTAAGTGACAGATTGTCTCAACATTTGTTCCGTTTAAATAACTGTGCGGGAGGATGTGGGAGAGAAAAACAAGCCTTTAGGGCCAAAGTGTTGCAGCACTGCAGTGCAGAGAGAGAGAGAGAGAGACATTTGGTCAGACTGTGAGAGGTTCTGGCACACCAACGCTAGTGTGTGCGTGCGTGCGTGCGGTGGAGTGTACAAATATGTCAACAGATTCGTGCAGAAAGAACAACAGGGACGAACAAACGAACGTCTGTCTGCGCATGCAGCGAGGCCGCCTGCGTCACATGACCAGGCTGGTGGTCCAAACCGCTGTGGTCTGTTAGCTACATCTCAGCCACATTCAGTGTGAATCTGCCACTGGGGTGGGGGCAGGAAACTACTTTGAGGTGCAGAGATAAACAAACCAGAAATAGACACCAGTGCAGGCTCTCGCTCTCTTTTTCTTCAATCTCTCTGTCTTTTCCTCTTCACCATATAGGTCAGCTCATCTGCTCTCTCTCGCTTTGTCTCACTTCTCTCTCTCTCTAATGACTCATCGCTCACCGAAGCCGTGCTTTGAATGGAGGATGTGTCATCCTCCTTTCCTCTTTTGTTTGGCAGCTGTTATTTTGGTTCAGCTTAGCACTTATTATTTCTAAACTCTTTCAGTTTCTCTTTTGTTTTTCTGACGAGCCCACTCACGGCGTGACACACTGCTACTGTAGGTAGATCGTAACTCGCTCCCACTCGCGTTAATGTGACGCAACTCACACGATGACCGAATGAGCATTGACAGGAACTCTGACCAGAGAAGGACAGTGATGTCTGTCACAACCTCAGACTACTCCCCCCCCACCACAGGAAACACAAACATTTCCTTTATTACTATCATTATTATTATTATTTTCGTCGTATCGTCTAGTAGCGTTCCACCTTTGCCCCAGTCAGTCCAGTCGTTCACAGCAGTGGTCTTCAAAGTGGGGGCCACGCTTTCAAGCGAGAGCGCCAATTAGCACTAGTTGGACTCAGAAAATTGGAGGGAAAACATTTCTAATTATTTGTCCTGAACCATACAACAGGGAACTGTCATAATGGACGGATTCTCAAGTTTCTGATGCCACCTAAACACACCTATGACAGCTGCAACTTCGGCATGATGACATCATAATCTACGTAGACCTGGCGGTCTGCGTCTGTTATGAAGCCGCTGTGTTCTTCAAGCTAGTGTGAATAATTTTCATATGCTAAACAAAGACAGGGTGTAGGGGCAGGGGGTGAGAACCAGTCCTCAGTCGTCAGAGCCCACTATCACAGCCTTTGTTATTTAAGATAATAAAACGAAAGGCGCCAACCCAAATATTATCATGTCAAATATATTGCATAACCAATTAAAACAGCCTGCAGCCGTGAGAGCAGCCTGACTGACACATGGGAGTAAATCCACTTATAAACTATAAAAACAAGGACAGAAGGGACAGGGTTCAAGTTGAGGAAGAGGTCCAAAGTTTAAAACGCTCCTGAATGTGTGTGTGTGTGTGTGTGTTTGCAGGTCAGTGATCTCCAAATGTGCATTAAATGTGCAAATTCAGCGAATAAAGCTGAAACTCACGCGTCAGCAGGTTAGACGGTAGGAAAACAAAAGACTGGGGTTTGACGGGTTTGATTGAAATACTTTTTTAGCAAACCTGGTTTTTTACTGAAAGTTTATCCAACAACACAACAAATATAAAACGTAAGTAAAATGTCTGGATATTTAGTATGGGTATGTCTGAGCCAGGAGTCACTCAACAACCACTTAGCGTGTAGTTAGCGGCCACAGTTAGCGGCAGCAAAGCATTTAGCAGTACACAGATGTGCTATATCCTGTGAGTTTCCACATTACATCATTAAATGTGTGTTCCACAACACAATAAACCTTCCTTAGCAATTTATCCTAACCTTAGCAGAGCAGGAATACCTTACCATAGCTTAGCCAGGCTAATGTTAAGCTAAGCTAAGACAATTCTGCTTACCCATTCACTTGTTGTTTCTTGAAATATTTAACACTGTGTCCTAGTACAACTATTACAACCAGGACTAGATTTTATTCCTAATAGTAGCATTAGCCAACGCATCACTGTACAAAGCAGTTACAGTACAAGTAGCACTTAGGTTAAACTCTTAACCACGCACAAACACACACTATCCCTCGAATCCTAGTAGGAATCGAACTCCCCTGCCTACAACTAGAGGGAGCCCAAATACAACCAGTGGTAAGCACACCACAGTTTGAGAACCATCACTAATGTAACGTAGCTGCTACCCACCGGATCTGTTTACCACCAGATGTGTCCCAACCACATATACAGGAAAGAAAATATTTGTGCTATGGAATACTTGCATCTCACTTACAGGATTAGTTTGTGCAAAGTACAATGAAAACTGCAACTACATTTCTCATTATTATAAAGCTCCAGTTACAGGATCCAAACAATCGGAATTCAGTCTCATTGGGGTTTTTTCGCCCTTTCATATCACATGTCACTAAAATTCACAAAAGCGAAAAAGGTTTTCATTCTCCTCCTTCTGTTTTCACAGTCGGACGAACCATAAGAATCGAGAGATTACCAGTTGGATCCACTGAAAAAAGGTAGAGACGAGGACGTCAACATCCTCCAGACTCTTATCACTGCTGCTGCTCAGTCGGGTGGAGTTTTTAAAATTCAGAAGGGAAATGAACTACTCCCACTTGTGAGGAATTTGGGAGTCTTGGAACTCCAAAGGAGCCATTCCAACACTTTTGTGGAGCTTTTATAGGAACGCCGTCTCCACCACCTCCTTATCAATGAACCACTGAAGGGGTCACACAGGGTCAATCGGACCGACTGGACTAAGTGCAGAGACACAGAGATTATTCTTTCTTTCTTTCCTTCACTCTCACGCTTCTCGTCACACCCACGGCCAAATACAGGAAGCTGAGGGTGTGTTTAATTTTGTCACACGTTAAGAGGCTTCATTGAGAGGCTGCAGGTTTTTGCTGGTGGTCCACAAGATCCACTTTAAGACAAGACTTTTTGAATTCTCCTGACTGACCTGAACTCAGCTCCGGTACTGTATGTATATATGTGAACATCTGTGTGTATATGAGAATATTTACTGGTTTCACTGAGCAACAACGTGTCTTTGTGCTGAGATACCAACTGTCCTTGTGTGTGTGAATATATCGTTCTGTAACTTGCAGCACCACAGTATCAGTGGAACTGACTTCACACGGCGGTGACGCTGGTTATTTCCTGTGAAACTGAACTTTAATGTCATCTACATATCATCTGTGACACTATAGGAGCTCCAGACGGTGGTGCTCTGGCTGAGCTCCTGTATCCAACTTCTCCTCACAAAGACTCAGGCTGAGTGTAGTGTCCACCAGGGGGGGCTGTCTGAGGGAAAACATGGAGGCAACCATCCGTCCCCATGTCCCTTCTAATGGCTGACTTCAGAGAGGACGCTCCATCTGTTTTGACTTGTGCAGAACCAGGCAGGGGCAACTAAAGCTGATCAGAGCCGCGGCCCTTCTCTCCTCACCCTCCCGAAACGCACGGATGTCCTGTCTCAGGCGTCAGCCCGTCACCATCCCCATGGACACCGTCAAGATCATCCAGTCGGAGAAGTTCCCCAGAGAGTGCCCAGTGCCCGTCACCCAGCCACGCTATGCTCCCCCTCCCAGGGTGGCGTGGGACGGCGGAGGTGAGGGCGAAATCATTGTCAACCAGGCCTGCAGCGACCTGACGCTGGACATAGGAGGGTCACCTCGTCAAATGGTGGCCCCACCGCCGCCCCCTGTGATGCGCAGAGAGCAGAGCTTCCTGGCTCAGCGCAAAACGAGTGCCAACGAAATCTGCTACCACCAGTTCCAGTACAAGATGGAAGACGTGATAGTCAACCAGTACGTGCTGCGCTCCTCCTCCACCTCTTCATCCACTTCCTCTTCCTCCTCATCCCCAGGACCCGTCATGCCCTGCGAGCCCTTGGACTGCCCCACCTGCGGGCACACCTACAACTTTGCCGGCAAGCGTCCCCGCATCCTGTCCTGCCTGCACTCGGTGTGCGAGGAGTGCCTGCAGATCCTCTATGAGTCCTGTCCCAAGTACAAGTTCATCTCCTGCCCCACCTGCCGGCGCGAGACGGTGCTGTTCACTGACTATGGTTTGGCCGCTCTGGCCATCAACACCAGCATCCTCAGCCGCCTGCCCTCTGACCCCAACGGGCCCGTGCAGTGGGGCGGAGACGCCGACCGCAGCTGCTACCAGACTGTGCGCCAGTACTGCCAGTCAGCCTGCACCTGCCACATCGCCAACCCTCTGACCTCCTGTGGCATCATGTAGACAGAGGACGCAGGCTGCAGGAAGAACTCCAGGTCGGCCCTTCACCGCCACTCTACGTCTATAAGCTCGATCCTCTCTGCCAGGACCCCCCCTCCCACGGTAAATAACCCCCACCCACAGATGTTATCTTATATATATTTAATAGCACAGAGAGATGCTGTGTGGGACTGGTGAATGCTGGTGGTTCAATAAATAGTAGATATGTGTATTTTATGTATGAACTGGATCCTATTCACCCTTCTCTTGTTTGGTTGGATGTGTTTGTCATTGACATCTCTTTACATGGGAATGCCAGGGGCGGTGCGTCCCCCCAACCTAGGTGAATAAAGATTAAATCAAAATAAAAGAGACTCAGTGTGTGGCCTAAGCGTTTTTGGGGTCAATCTTTAATGTATGTTTAAAAATCAGGGATTTACCTTTGTTTGTTTTTATGGTCATGAACAAAACAAGTAGAAAGGATAAGGTGTTGTCCACTGGGGGCACTACACTCGTTTCTGCAGATCCCCTCTTGATTGATTATGGCAGGTTCAGTTAGTGATGTCAGTGAAAGAGCTAAGTTTTGTTCAAATAAATAAATGATTACATATGATTAGGGATGTCCTCTATTAACTTTTTGCCGATATCCGATATAGCCGGGAAGTTGTGACCTGGTGGTTAAGGAAGTTAAGTGCTGCCCGCTCACTAAGGTGATGAGTTAAAGCCATAATACTGAGCAAATTGTAATAATTATTTATTTATCTGTACAAACCACTGTCAGAGTTGCAGGCACCAACATTCTGTATATAATCCCCTGATTATCCAAATAGATTAATAAAATGAGCTGCAATGCTGCCATCTAGTGACTAGAGGTTTAGTGTTGATAATGCTCTGTTCATGTTGGAGTTAACAGTTACAGGTATAGGAGGGGCCGTGAGGAGGTGTAGTGGGAGCGCGCGTGTGTGTATGAGGAAGAGAGTGCAGAGAGTGTGAGGGAGGAAAAGTCGATTTTGGAGAAGCTGGGCAAAGAAGGAGTTTAAAACATGATACTGCAATTGTGTTTCATTAAAAGTTCTTCAGAGTACTGGGGACTTGCACTATTTTTAGAGCCCACATCATTTGTCGAAACCCAGGTATTGCATTATCAGGTTTTCAGTATCAGGTGAAAAACTGATAACGATTCATACAGATATTACATAATTATGCTAATATCGGGCTGATATTATCGGTCGGCAGATATTATTGGACATCCCTACATATGATGAAAATACAAAATACTCAGATGCTAAGCTTACGGTAAACGGTAAATGATGTACAAGGTATAAGGTTTTAACCATTTTCATATTATATACAGTTTGTGCAAAAAAATAAAAAATAACAATAAAAAATACACGTGTATTAAGACAGTAAAATCTATACTGATTTATCTCATATTTACAATGGTGCAAAAAAAGGTCGATAAGTATTTTCGGCTTCAAAACTATGAAAAACTAATTAATCTCTTTTACTCTGAGTCACAGTTTTTTTTTCTAAAAATTGAAAAACGATTATTCAGTATAAAAAAATGAAGGAACATGTACAGCAAAGCACCCTGAGTAATAAGTAAACACAGCAGTACAGCATGGAGGTGCTGTAAGTGCTCATGTACACTAAGGAATTCTCTTTCCTGCAGAGTGTTGAAACAGCAAAATGTCCAAACAACAGGTACTGTCAGCTGTACCTGCTGTTACTTCACTGGGGCAGGGTCTTCCTTCTCATTCTGAAGAGCTGACTGAAGCGCCTCCTTGCAGAGTTCTTCTCAGATGGCTGCATCTGCTGGCTGCACAGATAAAACATCAGTCATCAGTCCCCGGAGGAGAAGGGTTGCTCAAAACTGTTTTGTTTTTCTTTTCTTTTCTTTTCTTTTTGTGATCAACGTCATAAAGAAAGGACATAATGTTCAAGAGGAGCAGATGTAAGGGCTGAAAATAAACAACCACAACCTGCTGTGGGTTTACTGTGCAGTGACTGGAGGTCTCTGGTGACCCTCCATGAGCCTCACATTTCTACACAGCTCCACAAGGGCTTCTCTTTTGGTTAAAGGGGTTGTACATTTTCAGTGTTTGAAATCTCACAAAAGAGACATGGTGCCATATTATTTCACAGCTGTATTTTAACAACTAGGTGACTCACACTGCCCCGTGTACCACTAGAGGGGGCCTACGTACTACCATGCAGACCATAGTTTTAGAACCACTGGTTTAAACTGCACGCTACGGGTCACTAGCCATATTTGTGGGCTGTCCAGAATTTCCCCTAGAGGCCAGACACTGAAATAAAATAAAATAAAAATCAGATTTTAACATTATTATTTGATGTTTGTTGTGGAATTTCATCAAGGGCCAGATTGGATGGTTGGGGGGGCCGAATTCACCTCTCTGCAAATAAGGGATTTAGATGTTTTTTACGTTATTATATTTGCCTATATTTCAGAGTTTTTGTTAATTTGAACAAAATAACACACATTTAAAAATCCACAACAGATTAAGGTGAATAATACATGTGCACATGGGTACACATCACTTACATATAAAACAAATAATTGGTCCTAAAGAAATAGCGAGCGGGTACACATCACTTACATATAAAACGAATAATAAATAATTGGTCCTAAAGAAATAGCGAGTGTAATAATAATACAATGAAGTACACAGGACTACACAGGGCCACAGTAATTACTGCCATTTTCAGGCCCTCTGTGAAAATGCAATAAAAACAGTTGCAAAAGCATTTTACTGTATGTTCTTTTAAACAGTGCCTTAAACATTTTTTTAAAGTCTCTTCTGTTACAGAAGGGTTTGAAAGTGAAAACAAACTGATTCTTGCCTCCTTGTTTCCTTCTGATTAGACACCTCTCTTCTCAGAGACGCAATTCTTGTTCTCCAGTTCTTATCGGGTCTCTTGCTCTCCACAGTTTTACACTCCTGAGGGAAAATTGTTTTTCAAATTTAAAAATATAAACAAAGATTCATACGAGGCAAAAACATTTGCAAAAAGACAAAGATTGTGATTGAAACCTCTGTCGTTTGGTCCTCATCTGGGATCTCTACCAGGTCATCTTTTCTCAAATGCTGCCCTCTGCTGTTCAAATTCATCTCTCCTAAACCACACCAAACGTAGTCAGACATTATAAAAACATTCCTGTCTTCAGTCTCATGTTTTTTTTTCTTGACAAGACAAAACATCACCTGATATAAATCTATAAAAACAAAACCAAACTGATAAAAATAAATGACTCACTTAAATGCAGCGTTGCAATAGTTGTGTCTGAGGCCGACCTCTGTCGGAAATGTCCATGTTGGTATTTCTTCCGCTGCTGTGGATCAGTGGCTCTGTGCCCTCGGTTTTCGTCATTTCTGACACCTTGACGAAAAGTGAGCTCGTCCCCAGCTTCGGGATGACAGCTGCCAGCAGCCTGACCGGAAGTCAAGAGAAACACAATGTCCTCATGCTTTAAGTCATATCAACCCTCAGGCAGCAGCAGCGGGACGACTTGTCACCGCTGACTGTCCCGGTCCACGTCACGCAGCTGAATGTCTCAGCTGTGGCGCATTGTGAAATGTTCTGTGGTCACACTGTTCACCTGGCTCACCTGCAGCTCCTGGTGTTCACACAGGGTGTCGAACTCAGCCTGCGTCTCTCTGTTTTGCATCTGCTGTTTGGCGATATCCTCCAAGATTTGGCAAACCTGCTCCAGGTACAACAGCCCTGGACTCAGAACCCTGGCTTCTCTGCCCCGCTCCTGCAAGACAACACCACTTGTTATAGTAGTTCTTGTATAATGTAAAAAATATATATGCTGATTAAATATACTGTCATTTCATAGTAGAAGAAACAACAGTTAAAATAGTACTAAATGGATTTTTTACCCGTGATATTTTAATCTGATTAATGGTTACCAGAGAGTGAAAGTGGATGATACTCCTGCTGACGATGACACACTGTCAGCTCTACTCTACCCCAGAGGGCAACCGATTTCTCCCTAATCTCTAGAAGTCCATGAAACATTACAAAAGTGTTCCACATATGCTTTTGTTTAACAAAACTTGAATCCTCTTGTTAATGTGCATCGTTCTCGGCAAAGTAAAATCTGCACCTCATCTAAAACTGTCCATGTTTGGGACACTGCCCATGTGGACGAGCTAATTGCCTCTTTGTGAACAGAAAGGGAAGTTAGCTGTGATTTTGTGTTGTGGAACTGTGTACTGACAGTTTTGTCATTCCAACATAATGTCCACTAGAGCAGGGATCCCCAACGACCTCATTCAAATAGAATCCACTCACTATTTACTTTCTTCATTTAAAGATAATCTGGTAATTGTTCAAAATAATGTCATCGAGACTGCAATACTAACAGAAGTTTTTAAAAAGTTGCAAAAAAGTTTGAAAATTTAATTATCCTTAATGATAATTCAACAACCTGTCCGCAGTAACAGTCAGTAGCGGCCGACCGGTTCTTGGTACAAAAACGGTTGGAGACCGCCTGGTAAAATCTTGGTACAAAAACGGTTGGAGACCGCTGCACTAGAGCATGTATAGTTATCAAAATAGAAGGAATGAATGTTGCCCAATTATTGAATATTGTCAAATTACTTTTTTTTTTAGAGCCAAACACTTTGATGTGCTCTTCCTACCTTTACAGGTAAACCTGGGTTGACATGAATCAGTAGTTAGGGTTAACACGTTCTGCTAATCCTGCTGCAGTTCAACACACGTGCCAAGTGTCAACATGTTGTCTGACGTTGTCTGACGTTGTGAGCAGTTTACTGGCATTTACACCTGAATGCTCTGCTGGTTCTGAGTGTGAATTCTATGAATTCATTGACAAAGTAAAAACAAACTGAATCATCTATCAGACAGATCAACACAGTCATAGTTTTGGTCCTGACAAAGTTAAAACATTGTTTTTGATTGATCAGAAAAAAACTATTTTGACAAACGTGTCAACCTGTTCTGTCACTTTTTCTGGAAATGTTTTTTAACATTAGGCTACAATTAACTGTTATTTAAAAAGTAATAATTAACAGTGCAGTGATGTCTCATTATGCCCTGATCCTTTCTCACTCATATACAGTTCACACACCCAAAGAACCAGTATAATTAACCCTGTTGTCGTCATTACCTCAGCATTGAACTGATTTTCACAATGATGAAAGTGATGTTCCACTGTTTTACATGAAACAAACCACGTTTTCCACAGGTTCGTTAACAACGTGCCACATTGATCATTAAAAAAAAAACGTCAGTGACTCTGGGACTTCCAGCACATTCTCTCCTGTCAAGCCTGAGGGCGTGAAGTCACCTGGACAGACTGGTTTATGGAGCCCGGCACCACAGACGGACTGTTGTCGGGCTGACTGGCAATAAAAGGATCCTGTATGAGTAATGACATGCCTTTGTTTCTGTCAGCTGAGGATCAGCTCTGGTGAATGAGTGTCGCAACTCTTTCAAAGTAGGTTAGAAGGAGAGGCCTCGCTGTATGTCTCTTTCAGGCTTTAACTCCTTGTAGTATGAACAAGACTGAACACGTCAGTGTGAAACCTGCATAATTCAAAAAATGTATGGGAAAAAAATGAAAAAAAAGAAGCTAAGACAGATCTGCCTCCCCTTTAAAAATGATACATTCTCAGAAGTGTCAAACTAAAAGTTTTTAGGTTAAAATGAGGGTTCCAAATTTGACCAGCAAAATAATCCAAAATAAAATGTAGAAAAATAAACCAAAATTTTCAAACATAATTTGGCACATCTGATGTCTAGTGGCATCAACAGAAATTACAGTCGATTCCTTTTAATGCATGAAACAGAAGGATGTGCATCCTTTACCATACTTTGTAGCAGTGTTTGTCGGGCCAGATTAGAGAGCCCAGCGGGTCGTATCTGGCCCACGGGCTGTTGTTTGTCCCAGTTAGCCCTAAGCTAAGCTCTGGTGGACCCAATAAAATGACAAGGTGGCCACATTTGGCCCGCAGTCCTTGAGTTTAGAACACAACATTGTTTACAACACACACTGCATCTCACCTCCAACGTCTGTTGGTCACAGCTCACGGACCTTGGCCGTGTGACAGTTTCTGAAATCTGCTTGAGGAACAGAGCAGGGTGGGCTGTCCTCCGCGGACCTTTCAATAATTCCGATGCGTGCCGTTTGGGCAGAAAAGACGATCGAGGCCGTCGTCTCAGCACTTCCTCCACCACCGTGAGAGGCCGTGGACTGTCCTTCTGAGGTTCGGAGTCAGATGTCTGTCCTGTCTCTTCCATTTTCAAGTGCATGGCGTGGCGTCCGTCCAAAGGTTGGCTGAGAGACAGTTGTGGAGACAAAGATGGGGGAGAAGAAAAAGAGGGCACAGGGGAGGATGGAGCAGGAGACTGTGGTGTGGAGGCTGGAGTGAATCCATGACTTTGTATCTCTGGCGTAAATGTCTCTATTTCCGCGTTTTCTGTCAAAAAGAACGAGGACGAAACAGGAAAAGATGTGTCAGAGCTGGCCGTCTCCACTCCAGAGTCCACTGAATATGAGCGGAAGTCGGCTCCACTTTCAGAGGAAGGTGTAGGAGGGTCTGCATAGAGATTTCCTTCATTTACCCAGGCTTCCATGAGGTTTCCAAAGCTCCTATAAACGTTCATTTCCTGAAAGAGTCCTAGTCCCTCATACCTGAGTGACTGAGCTGCAACAGGAACAACAGCAGTTTTGACAACCCACACAGTAATTAGCCGAGGTGAACAAGTGATGCCGCATTTAAGACATTCCCCAAGAGCGAGTCGCCTCCCTCCCTTCAACATGCCTTCTCATTTCATCTGCTCACTCCCGGCATGGAGCTGCGTGTTGCTGCCTGCACCTTCTTTTGGCTGCATCAAGAGGAAAGAGCTGTGACTCATCGGCTGCACCAGATGACATTTGATTTGTTGTTACATCTGTAAGATATTCAGAGAAGAACAAGAGCAAGTTACAACTTGGGTTCACAGGTGGACAGATCTTCAACACAAAAACATGAGTTAAAAAAAATTAATCTGAAGTGCTTTAAAAAGACCAAAACAGAAAGGTGGCTAGGTATTTGGTAATGGAAAAAAAGGCAAACCTCTGAAAAAGCATTTTAACAATCTACAAAAAAAGTAGTGCTCTGACCTACGTGTGATAGCATGATCCAGATTAAGTATGAAAATAGTGCTGTCATACCTTAAAATTCCTGGAGGACAAACATTATTATAGAATATGTATAAGAAGGCGTTTGCTAGTTTCAGCAGATACTTTATATACCTGTAACTGTAGGAATATGTTTCCAACCCTGGAAATGAGCCATCACTCAGAGTATCATCCCACTGAGTCAATGCACCATTTGCATGTGTACATACTGTACATTACTGGCACTTATAGTGTTTGTTTACTGTGATATACAGTAACAAGGAGATCTCCTCCAACAACATTTTCTACAGCATATTCTGTGGCTCAGGACTGGTTGCCTGTCCTAAAACTACACAATCACAAGTTTAAACTATTTTATTTCTTTTCAGAAGGTAAAACTTTAATTACCAAAAAATTATACTATTATGCCAAGAATGAAAGTTAAAATATTTAGTTTTTTTTTAATATCTAAATTTAGGCTAAATCTATCTATTATTATCTGAAAAGTATTTGGTTTTGATTATGATCAAGCTATTATGCCAAGAATAAAAGTTAAAATATTTAGTTTTTTTTTTATATCTAAATTTAGGCTACATTTATGCATTATTAGACAAAGAGAATTTTTCTCACATCCAAAACTCTATTCAAACTGTATTCAACAAAACATAAACACATTTTAAAAATATATGACCGTCTATTACTCGCCCCGTATTGTGTTTTAAATATTAAAAAATCTAAAACGGCAGTAATGGTTCTGGACCTCGTTTTTGCGTAATTCATCACAAACTTCAGATACTTACATTGAATTTGTAATGGTTATGTCCCTCTAGTGGCATATGTGCGCACTGCACCGTTATAGCGAGGTCTGTAATGTACAGATTAATTTAGTGATTTTTATACACTATATATAGTTAATTTTTAGTTTAATATTAAACTAATAAATATCATTATTTTATACTAATATTTAAAAGTTACATTGTAGATATTACCACACTAACGAAAGCTAAAAGCGAAGTTTAAAAAAAGAAAATAGCGCTAAGTGCTAATGAAGCTAAGTGTGGCCAATATTTAACTTTAATGTGGCGCAAAGGTGAAATTGTAGAAAAGCCAACATTTGCGTGAGGTGCTTTCTTGTCATATATTCTTCTTATTATGTTGTTTTACATATTTCCGGCCACTAACGTTAAAAAACATAGCTTACAGACAAGAACTCTTCTGCTGTTGTTGTTCTTTTGTTTGTCACGTCAGTCAGTGTGATGACGTTCAGACCTAGGGCCGACTCTTAATCCTTCCCGGTAGCAACGGACCAACAGCACAGAGACAGTTCCTCCTGATCTCCAGACTTCAACATGGACAGTTATCCTCCGAAGTTCAGCAAAGTTCTGGTGACACCTGATCCACATTACATACCTGGGTGAGTCCCTGTCAACAGACACGACATTTGTTGGTATTTGTACATGTGAAAATATCAACTATAGAATGTCTAGGCTAATAACAAGGTAGTGAATGTACTCACACGATGTATATAAAATAAAAACCACTGTAAATTAACCAATTCGTTTTTTAACAGGATTCTATCATCATCCTACGTTAAAACAAACTCAGCTTTACCTTAGTATTAGGATCAAACTTTAATAATTTAATGAAATTCATTATTAATTAATAATTGAAACTTAAGTCCATGACCTGTAAGAACTCATCTTCAATTTCAGAGGCTGAAAAAGTTTTAATGTTTAGTTAACTTTTAGTTACTAATTTGTGTGTCCCAACTTGCGGATCGTGGCCCTTTAGTGGTACTTGTACATTATACATCATATTACCAGTGTAACTACTGTAAGGTATTTAAAATGAATAAACTAGTTATGTACTGTGTATTTATGTCACTATATACTGTATGTATATATGCAGTGTACAGTATATATTGTAACTTCACTGCCATGTGTCCTGCAGTTACACAGGCTATTGCCCGCAGCTGAAGTACAACATGGGAAAAACATACAGTCAGCACACAGCTGAGCTGCTGACCAGCCCAGATGTCCAGCACTCCAGTCGCCTGGTCCTTAACTCGGGCTGCGACCCCTTCACTGACACAGGCGACGCAGCAGCTCTGACACTGAGAAGCCTTCCTCACAGTAACCTGAAGAAAACAATACCAGGATACACAGGCAGGTAACACACACATGCACATACAGACATTAACGCACTAATGCTAGGACGCTACGGAGACACTCGACACCTGATGGAAAACCCTGGTAATATTTAATTCACAATGTCTTCCATGTAAAACAACTGGGAATCAATGAGCTGTGCTGTCGGCTGTACATTTATTCTGACAATAAGCCTTTATAAAGCAGTGACTGCAACATAAGAAGAGATAATCTGTGACCAACTGATGAAATATTAAGTAGACGGGACCAGGTGAGTGAAGGTGTTGAAAATCAAGATTAACAGATTAGACCAGGCTAGAAAAGGGTAGGTGACAAACACAAACGTCTAGAACAGTTGTAGTGTCAACTGTTGAGATTTTAAAAATTAGAAGGTGTAACATCACTTTTTTAAAACACACAGAGATAAATGCCAATAAGGATTTCTGATGCAATACTGGGAGTGGCCTCTGAGGGAAACTGCTGCTATCTACTGTATGTATTGTTGTTGAACTGAATTCATGCCAACCAGCCAGAACCGCACTGTTCAGCTTATCCAAAAATATTAACTCTCACTGCTCATGTGGCACATTAAAGAACATTAAGAAAAATACAGCTGAAAGAAAGAAATACTATACCATTGTTTTTGAACCTTGGGGTCGTGACTCCATGATTCAAACGTCAATTTCAAAGAATATACTGGACATACTGGAGATTAAAGTAATATTTAAAAAAATAATGAAATACAATGGCCAGTAATAAAATAATTGTTACTTTGGAGTAATTCAGTTTCAGTGCAAATGACTATAAATGACTAAACTGTGCTTGTTTATAAACAGCATCAGTAAGTCACCTGCATTAATTAATAACAATATTCCTTATTAAATATCATTAGATATTTCAAGCGTACGTTGACATACATTGTCTTTATTATCTGCTATTTTTTTGTTCTGTTTTTAGCCTTTTTTCTGCCTCAACCTCTTCTTACTCAAAGCAAAAACAAATCTTTGAAAATGACTCATCCTATCTTATACTCATAAGAGTCTCATACCGTCACAGAAAAAGATGTCATCACACCTGTTGTGCTGCCAATAAAAAACACATCTGTCATCAAAGATGAATAACAGCCACAGTTCCTGGCATGCTTTTTTTTAGGTTTCATTCCAAGAAGTCAGAACTACTTTTCCTGCGGCTACTCTGAAACCTGTCGCCGAGCACTGACTGACTTCTACCAGGAAATGCACACCAGGAGTCTGCGCCAGTCAACAGTGCTGCCACTTCACCACAGGAGTTCCAGCCAACACTCTGAAGTAACTCCTTCTGTCTCAACTCTTCCTCACTGTTGCTTACACACACACACGCACACGTTGCCATGACACCTAGCACGAGTTTCGCCCTTGTTAATTAGCCATGCTGAAGTTTCATTGTCTTTGACTGGGACATGAGCTAACATGCACTAAAATAAAACACAGAACTATTTCAGCCAAACACATCATATCACCCAGCAAATAAATCAAATAAACATCACATGTCAACCTCAAGGCCCGCGGGCCAAATCTGGCCCATCATTTTATGTGGGCCCTCCAGAGTTGAACATGTGTATGGTTATCTCAAAACAAAAGTCTAGAGCAGACCTGTGCAAACTACGGCCCGTGAGCCAGATACGGCAGATAAGTGTATGTAAATATTTCTGTTTCATGCATTAAAGGGAATCGACTGTAATTTATGTTGATGCCACTAGATGGCGGCATATATCAAATGCGCCAAATTATCTGTGACGTTTAGGTTTAATCCTTGTACATTTTAGTTATATTATTTCGTCCAGCATTCTACATTCAACTAATACTGAACCGGTATTGACTCTATAACTATAATATAGAGTCAATACTAGCATTACATGGATGGGTTAAACACAGTGGCAGTATTCTGGGCGTGTACGACATACTGTATGGATTACGATTTATTCGTTAATCGACAAATGACCATAAACTACATCTCCCACAATGACAATGAATTTTACGACCTGCCTCCTAGGGTTCTGGGGTTCAATAAATGTTCATTTCTGGTTGGCCTCTGACACAGACTGTTTTACATTTTGGCCCCTTGAGTGAATAAGTGTGATGCCACTGTCACAGACAGTGAGTTTCCTGCTGTGTCATATCTCTGGTCATGAATGTTCTCATTTAAATTCTGTCAACTTCTGGTACAGAGACCAAAACCTCCACTGACACCCATCACCAACAAAGTCATTACCTACAAACCCCTGATGTCCTTCAGCCCTGTTTCACCCTATTATATGGATGACAGCGACAACAACAAATACTATATATCAGGTACTACTGCTGCTAAACCTGTAATGCAGTATTTATTGATCAGATATATATAGATATGTATAACAATGAAATAAAATTAAAGTTACTGTGTGATGTAATGTTTCTAGGATTTACAGGTCATGTGCCAAAATCCCGCTTCCTGATTGGAAAAGGATACCCTGTCATCACCAACCAGGCGTTAATCAAGTTTGGAAAGCAGCAGCGAAGGCACTCCACATCCCAGAACCACCATGGGAAGAAGAACAGTACTTCAAGTCAGTTGCCAACTATCTATCCATCCAACAGTGGTGTGATTCCATCCTTCACAGGACACATCCCGGGTCTGTGCCACTGACTAACTCGCTCTTCCACAGTCTTAGGATCAGAAATGTTTGGCTCTGCCAAGAAAAAGGAAACATAACACTTAAATTATTTTTACATCACTCCACAGGACACAAGTTCATGTTTGGACATACCTTTGGTCAACTTTCCAAAGACGCACTGGAGCAGAGCCGCAACGAGGGGATCCTAGTTTCCTGAAACTCAGATTCCCGTTAATGACAGTAACAGACAGAGTGTGTCAAAAACGATTTCTTATTCCATTGCTACTTCAGAGTGACAGCAGATAACAGAGCAAAAATGGTGCTGAAACTGAAAAACGTATGTCATGGGAATAAAGGTTTGGGCACTGTTGATTGAACAAGAGCAGAGGCCAGAGTGTCATGTTTTTATTTACAGAGTTCTGATTGTCTCCGGGCATTAGAAGAAGCATCAGGGGGAGGGAGGGGTTAAAGGGAAATTATTTTACAGACCTCACATTAAAAACATCAGCAAAGTCAGAAGTCACATGTCATTCTATACTTCTTCTTCAACCAGTCTTATCAAAATAGACCTTTCACACATTGAATGACCTGAATCGGCCACAAGGTGGCTCATATCTGTGCAAATGAACAATCAAACTTCACCTACATGCAGCACCGGTGATTACAAAAAACCTGAAATCCAGCTCTTACAAAACCTGAAACCTAAAAAACTTAAAGATCTACTCAGGATTCTTACATCTTAGGTTTTTTTTTACTCATGCACATTACAGTAGATTCATGCAGAAAATCAGTTCCAGAGACCAAACATTACTGACACCACAGAAGGCTGATGTGTTGCACATACAGTATAACAACACAGTAGCTTTTTGTATAAAATAAATAAAGTAATATTTACATTTTGCACCACACTGATGTAAAGAAGGTCAGTATTCACATTTGTTGATTGCTATTCATCAGGAAAACAACAACTTGTACCCTCATTTATTAAGCTGTCACTTTCAGCTAACATTTCAAATATCCATTTGCACAAGGGAGGCTAATGTTCTAAAGAGTTAAAAACATCAAGCGGACCTGAGATCTTAGCAGAACATCAAAGGTGACACCTGCTTTTGCTATTTGGTTGCCCGTAATCTTAACAGTCTTCTTAAATTACCAGACTTTTATAGAATCTGAAAAACCGTTCCTGTAATATGACTGCAACCAAAAGATATTCCTTTTTTCATTCACTATCAGCCCACTCATATTGAGACGGTGTTATTTCCACCAAAATTAAGACGTGTATATGTACATATATATATATTTATATATATATATGTATATATATATGTGTCCGTGTGAGAATATATATGTATACATACATATATAAACACATTTGGTGCAAGTATATATATATATATGTTTGTACACATATATGTAAATATATATTGTAGTTATTGTTATTATGAAAGTGTGATGCCCTTTCATGGCTCTATATACACACACAGACAACCCACGAGTCAAAGGATGGTAGGATGTTAATGAGTACAGATGAGAATGGTGTCATCAAGATCTTATTTAAAAAGTTGTCCTAATCCACTATACAGTTATTATCAGCCTTGACTAAGTCAAACAATAATGGGTTACTGAAATAAAAGGAATCATCTGGCAGGAGACTTACAGTAGTGTGTGTTGTTAGGGGATCATACCTCTGGTGTATGAATAACTTCAGTGACAGCCTTAAGGGCAGATTTGAAAAACTGTAGTTAGTGTTCAATCTGAGAGACATCAACAAATACAAATAGAAGACTATTAAATGGACATATTCCATTTACTGTCTTTTTTATCTAAGTACCGATAACTAGGTTTCTGTACATTACTGACAGCTGACAGTCACCATCAACTCTGCTGACCGACTGGATTGGTGCAGAGCCTGATGAGTGTGGTCCACGACGCTTGTGCTTGTCTAACATGTCAGCAGCAGTGTGTGTGAGTGTGTGTGTGTGTCTGTCATCATGCATCTTAAACTTACAGTTTCTCAACAGTCCATACACTGGTTACTTATCCTCATTATGAGCATCATGCAGCTTAAACTTACAGTTTCTCAACAGTCCGTACACTGGTTACTTATCCTCATTATGAGTCTTTGTTTTTTTGGACCTGACCAGCTTCATCGACTTCATGGACTGAGCCAAAATTCCAAAATGGGATCGGTCCAAATGAAGCCACTCCGATGGTCGCCTGGAACCAATCATTCACAGATTGGTTATAAGTATTAGAGTGACATGTCAATCATCTATGATGCTACACAGTAGGTTCTTACCTTCTGGTTTGTGCTCCAGTGTCAGAGGTCTTAGCTGATCCAAACAGCTTGGCCCAGCGGCGCCCGCCTTGACACCGGCCCTCCACCTCGACACACGCAGACGACTGTGGCGTCTCACAGTCGCCAAGGTTCTTGGGCTCCTCTTGTCCACTGCTCATACTTATTTGCGACCAATTCTCTGCGTAAGCCAGGCTACAGTCCTCCCCTTCCTCAACATTGTCCATGAGGTCAGGCTCTTTGTGACCCCACTCTGGGATAGACGCTAACCCTGGGTCTACCTTAGTCTTCCTGTCTGCTCGTAGGAGGGGCCAGCTGGTCACCAGAGAGGCTGAGCAGAGTCCAGGTGACCGAAGAACCTGCTCTTCAGGACATAACAGTAGTCTGTTACGCAAGAGCTGTGGCTCCAGGAGCAGGTTGAGGTCAAAGGGCAGCATAGAAAGAGGCTGCAGGAGAAGCAGCAGTTCTTCAAACATGGACTCACACTGGACCAGTGACACTGACAGGAAGGCCCAGGAATGGTAGTAGGCTGCTATTACATCTGAGAAGATAACATTCAAAATGGTCAGTTCTGTTAAATGAGCTCCATTTTCTGTAATCCATACAGTATAATGGCTGCTGAGATACTGCAGTGTTGATCTACCTAAAAAAACAGATACCAGACATCCATGAAATCTATATTAAACGTGGTTGACTCACATTTTTGATTATGAAGGTGAGTGAGCCAAAACTCCAGAGCTCTCAAGCTGAAAGATAGAAAAATGCATTAGAACTTTGTAGCCTGTTTTTTTTCCAGAATATTTTTTGACACTAATTAAGGACTTACTTAAGCAAACCCATGATGAAGGCTCTCAGTCTCATACTGTGGTTGGTGAGCTCAGGACATTGTTGAATTTTGGAAACCAGACTGTGGAGCACCCGGGAGAACGGACCTGTGGTCAAATCACAACAGTTGTGAGTTGAGTCAGGTGGTTCACAAAGTTTTATCAAACGTGCCAATCAGAAAATATTTGTCTCCTCAAGTACTACCAGTATAACCAGCATCAGCACAGACAACAGCTGACAACAGTGGAGTCTATGAAGTACTGTAGTAATACTATAGATTTAAAAGGAAGTTAAAAAAAAACTCTTTTGTTTTGTTTAGTCTGTTGTACCGTTCTAAATGTTGATAATAATTGATTCCGACACAAAAAAAATCAGTATTTTATATGACAGACTCACCACAATCAAAAACAGTGACCTGTCATTAACAGATCTAAGGTTAAGAGGACATTGACATTATGTTGATTTGTGTGATGTGTAAAATTGTATCAACATTTACTTTTTTTACTTTTACCTGCGATGTACTTCATTCAGTTGTAAATAATAGGAACTGTTGCAAATTGGCTTAAGGGGTAAAGATCCCTGAGCTGAGACCAGTACCCATCTACCACTAGAGGGAGCCTTAGCACCACCATTGGAACATATACCATGGTTTGAGAACCAATACCATAATTGGTACTGTTAAAACTGTAGAAATGCACGTTGCCCTAAATGTTTCACATTAATAATTTTTGGACATGCGTTAATTACTATTGTTAGATTCTTTGTAAAACATGATTATAGTCCAGTTATTATATGAAATGCATGATGTAGAATTTTTAGGACTTCTCTGAAGGTTCTCCAGTGAAGTTGTGACTTCCTGTGTAAAAGAAAGTCAAAAGTACAGCATAGCATTTGTCACATTGCTCTCGAGTACCAATGGTACGTACATATAGTGAACCTGGTAGAAACCTCCACCACAGTCCAGGAATGGTTGGGGCACTGCCCAATGATGGGGTCCAGTTTGTGATCCATGAGGCCATCGTCCAAAATGTTCTGGATCGTTGGACATAAATGTTCCAGGACCAGGCCTACAATTGTGGGACTACAGGAGCTGTTTCCCAGACGCATCTGTGGAGAGGGGAAATGAAATACAAACCACTCCATGATCCTGCTGACACAGGTAATGTGACTCAGCGTAAATAATACCCGCGAGGTCCACTGTGGGACATCACTCAAGGTCTTCTGTCTCAGCAGCGTACCTTTTCATCAGGATCTCTACTGCTGCCAAAGTGAGTCATGATCAGATCCACCGCTCTGCTCACAGACCTCAGCAGACCTAAAAACAATGGACAACAGTAGTCAGGCAAAAGACGTTCTCTCACTGTGTATTTGGATAAATTAGAAGTGGTTCTCAAACTACGGTGAGCAGACGTTGGCTCCCTCTAGTGGTACATGAGAGAATGTTATTCTGATCCCTTGTTAAATATTTTTCCGGCCCTCTTAGTGAGTGCACAGTGATGTCTTTATAATGTAATGTTGTGGTTATGTTTTAGAAATTACTTTTTTTTCCCTTAAGGGACTTTAAAACCAAATGAGATGTTTTAAGATGTTCTTTGTTAACTGGGTTAAACTCCAGACAAGAGAGAACGTCTCCATGAATCATCGTGCAGCAGAATGAAATCAAAGATAAAAGGTTCATATTTCTATTTCAGCATTGACCCTGATTGAAATGCTGTCCTCACTGCCTGCTTTTCTTCAGCTCACACTGACAAACCTCTGAAAATGTCACAGTTCATTCTTAGTGCATGTGGATGCTGCTGCCTGCAGTGCTGATGCTGCTGCTGCACCATCCTTTCCCTTATACTGTTGTGGCAAAAACCTCCACTGATAATCCACCGGCACAGGCGCACATTTCTATAATTACATTGGCACGGAGTGGTCTGTATTGCAGCACTTGAAGGAAATGATGAGTTTGTGTTATAAATCTTAAGAAACCACTTCTTACTGCGTCCCTCTGCCTCTTGCTCTCGTGCAGTCATGCTCACATAGGCTAAGGAGCAGGCAGCTCAGCCAATCGTGTGCAGGGGGGAGTTAAAAATAGGTCATGTTTGAAAGGGAGCTCCTTCAGGGCCTCGAAAAGCAATACTGCAGCACAGCCAGATTTCATTACAGTTCTCAGAGGCTCATCAGTAAATATGCAAACAGATCAAGGAGGAATACGTGACATGTTGCAGCTGTGTGTTTCTCATTTACCCTCCACTGTTGGTCACCTGCTGATTTAAAGCAGTGTGTGGTTATTGGTTGAGCCTCACCTCTCCTCTGAAGATGGCTGATTGACAGGGACTCGTATGATGTATCAGGCGAGGGGCAGAATTCTTCAGACGGCCTGTCAATGGACATCAGAGACTGACTTTCAGCGTGTCTCCCACTGTGAGCACCAGAGACCTGGTTCTCCTGTGGGTGGAGTCCAGAAGCAGCCGCAGACAGCAGAGAGCTCAGAGAGGAGAGAGGAGCCAAGGAGGAGAAGGCGGCCGTGACGGTGCTGTGAAAAAAGCCAGCTGAGTCAGCTGCAGGTGCTGCTCTGTGCTGTAGGAGTTTGTCTTCTGAAGGTGACAGAGTGGGAGCAGAGGAGAGGAAATTCAATTTTGGCTGAGGAGCGTCAGCGGCCGTTACAGTTAAAGTGGGCGGAGTGTTAGAAAAAGGTGAATGGTCTGGGGACAGATGTAGAATTTGGTCTTCCAGATTGGCGTGGGTTTGCTCAGGTAGGAGTTTGATGAGGTTGTGGTAGGTGGGGAATTTAACAAGGTTTGACTGGTTTGGGCCTGAATGTGATTCTCTTTTGTTCAGCAAATGAATGGTTTTAAGCCTCGGACTACAGTGAGATGGATCCAGGCTGCTTCTTGATGTCCAGGGACTCTGATCTTGGCTTCTGGTGATGTGTTTCCACGTGTTTTTACACCTGAAGCAGCCTGGGCTTGGTGTACAGGTGGAGCAGGTGTCAGGGCTCGACGGAGGCCAGTTGCTTCCCAGGGGCGATAGCTGAAGGTTGGAGAAGCATCGGCTTCTTTTGCCCTTGAATCGCTGCTGGGACTGAGTAGACCTGCTGCTGTCTGGGTTCATGAACTGCTCCAGCAGACAGCCCAGGTGCTGAGCCCTGGACTGGGCTCTGTCTGCAGCAGGACTTAGAACAAAAGGCTGAATGGGAAGTGAGGTCGGCCTCTGAGCTTTACTGTAGCGAAAAACAGCATCTTCTGAAGAACATGCACCTGAAAGGACACAGAAGATGGATATATATATATACACCTGCTCCAGTCCAACTTTACACTTATTTTTTATCATAGATCCATGAAAACAAAGAAATTCTGAACCAGGTCTAAAGTACCTCTCTCTGTAGAAGCAGTAGTACAACACTCCTGGTTCACCGTCACAGATGGCTGTGTGAACACTCCACTCTCGCCTTGGTGTTTACTGCTGTGTGGTCTACACTGACTGGCTGTCAGCTTATTCCTGCAGGGAGCATGGTCAGTGGATGTGGCTGCAATCTGGTCACAATCAGGCTGAGAGTGGTCCTCTGCCTTGGACCACTGAGGTGAGGAGAACGTCTGGTTCTTCAGTCCATCACCCTCAGGCTGAAGGAGCAGAAAGAAGTACAGTAGACTTACGGTAGATTCTCTTTATCCTTGACATTGTCCACTGGTTGTATTAGAGGCCGTACTACTGTGTGTGCTCCCTAATTATCTCATGTTTCTTTGCTGACGATTAATCAATACACAGTAAATGAGCAGGTTGGCTCTAAATGCCATGAAACAGATCTGTTGACAGAGTTCCTGCAGCTGCGTATGGGAGACATTTTTAGACATTTTAGAACTGTAATGAACTTGATGACCAACAGTAACCAAAATTAATCAATTATTTACAATCATTTTAATTGTGCCACAAGAGGCTTTTAATACAATCTGAAAATGAAAAATGGATGCACTCATTAATGTTTTTATATTTTAGTGTTGGAATAAGATCTAAATCCTGCTTCTTTTGTCTTGACATTTATTAAGAATTTGGAACCATGTACGCCAAATAAAGTCTTCAATATGGATCAAGGAATTCAATACCTTTTAACTTCATTAAGTGTCAGATAAGCTGCAATAAGTCTGGACCAGATTTGTTTTGAGCGTTTGATACAGTTTCCCTTTTTGCTGTGTGGCCTGGCAGATCTGTTTTAGCGTCAGTTTGTTATGTTTTTGTAGAATGTACTTAAAAGAACACAGACAGGACAAATACCTGGATTTCTTCTCTGTGTTGATCTGTATTCTTGTAATTGTTTGAAGAATGGTAGAAGCTACTTCTGTCCTGATCATCTTGGCAGTTGGTGAGACCAGACCCGGCTGGACTGGGTGTCTGGGACAAGAGGTCGTATGTGACCAGCTTGTAGTACTTCTGGTTGGTCCCCATGTCCAGTGCAGGCTGGCTCTGGAGACAGGCAGCCAGGTCTGAGACTTCCAGAGAGGAGAGACCTGAAGGTAGAGGCTCCAGGGAGAGGAGGCCGAGGTTTGGGTGGAGGTCGCAAGGAGAACAAGCCTCATTCTGTGAAGGGTTCATGGTCATGTCTTCTTCTTCTAGGCCCTCAGTTGAAGACTGAGGGACTGGATGGAGGTTTAGAAAGACAGATCCATCACACGGCTGGGAGGGTTGGATCGCTGGACTGCTGAGGTCCAGAGGCGTGGCAGGATTGTTGCTTCTGTTGTACATTGTGCAGAAGTTAACCAAGATGCCATCAGAACTGTTACAAGAACTGTTACAGTCGCTGACACACTGTGTGTTGGACAGAAACTCTGGTGAACACTGAGAGCCCAGACGGGTACAGAGCCAGTCCTGTTCACAATCTGTGTCTAGTCTGGTCCCTTCATTGGCCCAGTCAACATCCAGGTCTCCGTCAGGCATTGCATCATTTCTGTCACCGTTACTCAGTCTCCAATTTGTGTTCCCGTGCAAAACAAAAGAGGAATCTTCACAATATCTGTGCAAATTATCACTGTCTTCATCTTCCTCATCATCATCTAGCTCTGCACTGGCCAGGAATGAGTTGCGTAATCGCACGCTGCCCTGTTTCTCCTTCTTTGCGTACAAACTCGTCTCCTCAGGCGAGGAGTTAAGGTCATTTCTCCCACTGCTGTCACTGGTTCCTTCCTCCTCTGTCCGGTCCTCATTGAGAATGCCGTAGCTGCTGGAGAAGTGTTTTCGGCCGATAGTTAAGGTGTTCTCTCGGTTGGAGGAGCCCTTTTCTGGGAGTGACGCCGCTCGAGTCAGTCCTGCCGGACAAAGACGACCAGGTCTTTTAGCAGAGCTGCACAAGGCCTGGACGGGAAGTTGCCATGTAGGAAGCTGAACGACGGGGAAGTGGCAGGCAATCAAAGTGTCCCCTGAGAGACCGGATGTTCCAATCATATCTCTGAATGAAGTTGGAGCAGGAAATCTTTCCCCATACTTCAACCCTAGACAAAAAAGAATCAGAATCTGGTTAGAGTAGAATATCAGGAAGGGTCAAACATAAAACTGTGAAGTTTTTTCAAGGCTATTGATTTTAAACCTGAATTCCTTCAGCCTGTTCTTCACACCAGATATCAATTAATACAATAGAGCAGAGGTTCCCAATAAGTAGATGGGGATCGAACAGTAGATTATGAAGGGAGCGCTGGTAGGTGATGAAAATAAAATAGTGTAGTAGTGACCATATACTGTAAAAATTGAATCAGAGTGCACCATAGTATATAGTGTCTTCTGTTTATAAAATTAGAATATATATTTAACGTTTTCAATGTAGGTAGATCACTTTAGCCTGTTTATTCCAATAGTGGCTCTGAACCCAGAAAAGTGTGGGCACCCCTGCAATAGAGATTGTTTGGTAAGTATATATTTCATGCAGCTGTCAGATTAGAGGCAGTGATTCTGTGACCATTCTAGGAAAACAGCGTCCCATGTCCAGCTGCATGTCACGATTCCTGCTACTAACTTGCAATGTTGCCTTGCATTTGAAACTGCTGACTAACGGGCAGGGACTGAATAAGTGACCAGTTAGAACATGCGTTGTTTTGCCGCAGAGAGAGAGAAAAAAGTAACCTTCCGAAAGTCATCAGGTAAAGTATTAATGTAGTTGTGTCTTCAAGTTTAACCACATATACTTCTCCTCGCCTCAGCGACATCTTCATTTGGATTACAGCACAGCACAAATCCAAAAGCATAATTTTGAAGAAAATAAAATGCTGTGTGACTGCGGTAAAATCAAACCCGATTGAAAATAAGACAATGAAAATATGGAACTATCCTCTTCAGCTGTCTGAGGCTTTTTTTTGGGAATCTGGTTCACAACACAGCCGACTCCTGATAATTCAGTCAACCATTACAAACTCCTCCTTTCCTCCTCCTCCTGCCTCTCTTCCTCTCCTCTGTGTCTGGACCAACCACAGCTCCTTACACTTACTCAGCTGCTCTGTAACTAGGGCAGCTGCACTGCAGAGAGGCTCTGCCACCTCTGATGAGAATAAATACATCATACAGCCCACTTTAAGTTAATGACCAAAGAAGTCAACATTCATAAATGTCAGGGTAGACCTTGAAAGGATCATTAGGATAAGGATGTAAGTAACTTATTTAGACTCCTCTTCAGCTGTCTGAGGCTGGAATCTGAGGCCCTGCCTTTTTTTTTGGGAATCTGGTTCACAACACAGCCGACTCCTGATAATTCAGTCAACCATTACAACCCCCTCCTTTCCTCCTCCCCCTGCCTCTCTTCCTCTCCTCTGTGTCTGGACCAACCACAGCTCCTTACACTTACTCAGCTGCTCTGTAACTAGGGCAGCTGCACTGCAGAGAGGCTCTGCCACCTCTGATGAGAATAAATACATCATACAGCCCACTTTAAGTTAATGACCAAAGAAGTCAACATTCATAAATGTCAGGGTAGACCTTGAAAGGATCATTAGGATAAGGATGTAAGTAACTTATTTAGACATGTAAAAGTAGTAAATATCCTCATTACAAATCATCCTACACACCATCATATAGAAATATGATGATGAGTTTCAACTATAAATAGTTTTTCAATGCTCATATTTCACAACGCTTTGTTGTAAAATAAAACATATGAAATGTAAGAATTGATGATTTGCATGACAGACACAGACCTCAGTTTATGGCTCAAATTCCACCTCTGTATGGACGGTATGTGTACAAAATGTAGACCAGAGTAACACTGAACACAATCCTCCCTGGTGCTAAAAAAACAACATCAGCATGGCAACAAATAGGCAAAACAAAAATGACACAGTCACACACTGCCAGATCCAGACAACATGGTTCTGTCAAAAAAAACGTCCCACCCAGAACAGGGTTACTAAGACTGTACGGTCCAATCAAAACACAGGGGGAGAGCAGGTGTTAAATTTTAACATGGTCTGATCAATTATTGTTTAATAATATGTAGAATGTGAATATACTTTGGTTGTTTTTTTTATTGCTAACTTTTTTGGGACATTTTATTACTTTTGCTCTTTCTAGGCTTGTGCAGTATTTAGTAATTTGGTGGGTGGGTACATAGATGGAAAAAAAACAAAAAGCAAGAAGACAGACCAAAAAAACAAGATATGTGATATGCTGACTCTAGTCTGAAAAACCTGAACAAACATCAGCATTCTGCCCTACGTAGTCACATATGTAAGCAAAGTTGCCCATATAATATAAATATAAAAAATACATAGATATAAAAACAAGAGAGCAAAACTTGCCCCTGCATCAGATATGCATCAAATATGTAAGAAAAGCTGTTCATGTAAAATACATATGAAAATAAATACATGTTGATAGCACAAATTACCCCAGCATCAGTCACAAATTTAGGCAAAGCTGTCCATATAAAATAGATTTAAATGTAAAAATAAATATATATCTCTGAGCACTGAAGACAGATGTCTCCATTTCTATTTTGCCAACAGTTCAATAGCAGGCCAGTGTGACTGACGGTCTATCTGCAGAGGACTAACTACTGCACTCTGCAGTATGTGTGAGTTTTCCATGCAATCGCTGCTAGAAGCCTCAGCTCAAACATCAAATGAGTCTCCACTGTGTCTACAGCACATTGACATGATTCTGATTAACTTGTCCACTTGGTGTCACTCGGAAATGCCTGTCAGGCTGATTCTGTCATCACCCTGTCTAACTGTGGTTCTGTCAAGAGTGAGGCAGAGTGAGCTCTGGGAGCTGCTGCTGCCTCACTGCACTGGGGACAAACTGAGGACATATATACATATATATGTATATGTATATATACATAGATATACATATATGTGACTTCAGTTTAATAATTGTTTATCAGGATCCTTGTTTGAGTCAAAAGAAAAGAAAAGTACATGGCAGTGTCTCAATTATTTTCTGCCATATGCCTCCTAGGGATAGAAATATTTTCACCTCAACCCCCTGAATTAAAATACTTTGAGAGCCCGATAATATGTATTTTCTTATCTATAGAAAACACTGTACTAGAGCCATATTCCATCGAAAGCCTCTCACACCCAAATTTCCCAACCCCACGGCATCTCACCTCCCCCCCCCCCCCCCGGGATCCCCACCCCACCTGCACTGTTGTAGACCATATACTAAAGTAAACATTACGTGGGCCACCAAAATGACCTAGCATGTTACTTGAAGTTCTACCTTCAGACTGCATGTCTTTGTTGCTAATTCTAAATGTTTAACTAGATGCTTTTTGAATGGTTCACATTATAAATTAAATGCCACCACCAGAGTTGCTGTGAACAGCCCACTGCCCTTAAGTGACCCGCAGAAGAGGTGACATCGACCCATTTGTAATCCAATAAATGTAAATACATGCTACAATCGCCATCTCCTATAAACTTCAGACGTACGGCATTAAAACAACAATGAGTGGTGGTTGGCAAATGGTCACACTTTGCTATACATGTTAGACAGTTTTGTTTACATTCACCAGTTGTACTCCACACATTGGTTTTTGGTACATTTGATTTATTTTATTTGTGTTGTTTTTTGGGGGGAACTTCATTATGGCTCCCAGGTGTAAGTCAGACACTTCCGATGCTTTTATGTCCTAGATTATGATGTTACCACTGTGTTAGCATAGGTGAGTGAAATAGGTACTTAAATACCTATAAATACATAGACATAAATCGAGGACCCCCTGTATATGTATTTTACAGGCTGCATCCCACTACGCCAGAACACAACCATGCTATTTGTCATATTCAGTGTACCAAGAGTCATATTTTATGGATCAATATCATTCAAGATCATTCAGGACCATATTTGAATGTGGACTGGGTCAGATAGTTAGAAATAGGATTTGTGGTGTTCACACCATCACAAACAAATTCGGTATGTAGCCCATAAACAAATGAGATTTGGGCCATTTCAGCTGCAGTGTGAATGTTTTTAAATATGCTTATAATATCCAGCCTGTTTGTCTCAAGACATATAATTGTACCTGCATTTGACTTAAAGTGAGATAAAACAGAGAAATTTGAGTTTGTTGAATAAAGAAAGGTCCAGATAAACCATAGGTCTAATAAGAGATGGTGGTATTTTGAAGACCTATGAAACAAATATTTTGTGTAATGTGACTAAAGTAGACCAATCCTGTACATATCTCCTCTATAAAATCAAATACATTCAGAAAAAAACACACATTGCTCATCACCTACTTGAAACCAGTCTTTAGTCTAAGCCGTTGTCCTCCAGGTCCGGTGCATCACTTCTCCAGGTGACTTTGGTTTGCGGCTGCAGCCAACATCAGATAACTAAAAATTACACGAAAGAAAAAAAAATGCAGCTTTCACACAGCTGCAAAGTCAAATCTGCATTTCAGATTTTACCAGCACTTCCTTCCTGTGGAGAACAGTGAATGTCCAAAAGAAGGGCCACTGAGGTCCAGAGGGGAGCTACGGTCCCTGTGTGGACGGGTTTTACTCATGCTGTCGCCGTTGCTGCTGCCTCTGCCTACACCTCCTCTGCCTGCCTTCTCTTCCTTAGCAGTGCTCCATTGCTGTAGATGTGACGTCAAAACAGCTTTGACCAATGAGGAAAGAGGTGCCCCTGACAGTTAAAGACCCCAAAACAGTTCAAGGCTATTTAATAGTGCATTCAGTGTTTGTGCAAATAGTTAAAGGTGGCAGTTGTGAAAAAAGAAAAGAAACTGCTGTAAATGTATGGCTGCATTCACAAATACGGAACTGGCAAAGAATAAATATCCCTGAATCCGTAGGTGCCTAAAAAGGAGCTACTTTCCTTCAGATAATGACAAATAAAAAAAATGTTTGCCTATTTTATTTTTTGACGTGAATACATTTAAATCAATCACACTAGATAAACGACACATTTGCGAACGACATAATACCGATAGAAATCCTCCGACTAAAAAAAGGATTAATTCAAATAAGAAACTTACGTAATTTTACTTAAATAGTCTGTTCTAACTTATACGTATAAACACTACAAACACAAAATACGTAATTATTGTATAACACTACAATTAAAGCCAGACTCATATACTTTAAACCTGGTTCAGTACGACCTCTAGTGGTATAACTGAGAATGACTGTGCTGGCAAACCAACTTGTGAACACATTAATTAAAATTAATTTAATATGTATTTCTATTTATAAAGAATATTTAATAAGACTAAATTATATTGTATTCCAGGAGCAACCAGCTGCCGCGTTTCCACGTTATTTAAAATATTTAAACCATGTCATTGTCAACGAATTAGTTTTTAGTTTATACTACTGACATGGCATTTTATAACAGAAGTACGTTCTGCTAGTCAAGCGGAAGTGGTGTAAAATTACAGATATGGTAAAATGAGAACATAAGTAATAAAGGAATGTTTGTCCGAAGAATAAAAATTTATGTTAGCTGAGGAAATTGAAGAATGTAAAGGAAATAAGACTAATGAAAAGTTTACTTTAACAATTAGCAGTTGAGCCAACTTAGCCACAGTTTAGCCAAACGTTAAACTTCAACTTACCAAATTATCGCAAAACGTCGCTCCGAATAAACACAAAAAACGAGAACGCTTTGCAAAATTAATAATAATAATAATGGCCAAAAATGCTTAAAACTACTAACAGGACACGTCGTGAGAGCCTGTAAGAAGCATAGGGTAGCTGGTATCTAATGTGAAGAAAAATGTCTACGACATACGTTAATTCAGGAGATTTAGGGAGGATTCTTGATTTTTAATGCATTAGTAATTAGTAGTTTAATAGTTGAAACAACCCATTTTATTGTATATCAAACATATGCATATTTACGCCTGTACAATAATGTATAAATAAATACATGACAATAACATGAAAAGTAAACTGGGGGTAAGAATATATTTTCCCATTAAAGAAACAAGTTCAAATACATAGAAATAGTGTGTTTTTGGAAATAGTAAAGAACAAGAACTAAATTGACAGCAACACTTTATATTCTTTCTTTTACAACCTTGTTTTGCTGCAGGGTCTTGTAGGAAACTTGTAAATTGTGCAACATGTCTTTAGAAATCAAGCCAGAATATCATCTCTTATATATTGCCAGATTTTATTTTCTAACAGGTATCTTAGGTCCATTTCATAATGACGGAAGCAGGTTGTGCAAACAGGTTTCCTTAGAGTGGGAGTTGAGTTTGTGTTTCTTGTTTAGGTGTAAAGCCAGAAAGAACATGTATTTTTCCTGTAACGATAAGAGACAGTTTATTGCAGTGTAATTACTTTGTGACTTTGTCCAGCATGTGAAACGCACATGAACACAACTGCATAAACAAGTTCGTGTACTACAGAAATATTTGGATCGATGGTTCAACATCACAAATAAAAGTGTTCAAAACTCTAAACTTTTTGAAGTGGGAAAGTTTTCAACAAAAATGTACTTAACCTATTTGCTTAATGCATAACAAATGTTGCACATGTTGTCGTTACGTGCAACATGCACATTGCATATGCTTTAAATTTAAATAACACTTTCAGCTTACAAGCAGTAATAGAAATAAAAATTAAAAATGACCAGGAAATAGTCAGAAGCAGAGAAAGAAAATAGATAAAAGTAGAAAGAGGGAAAACGTAAGGAATAACACGGAAAAAACTAATAGTTGGAGAAATGTTCAAAACATTCAGCGATGAGCAAATAATAAAGCAATTTTTTTTTTTAAAAATCAAAAGAAATAGCTAGTAAATAACTAAAGATAGGTTGTTGTTGTCATGTTGGGTAATTCAATATAAGACGAGAAAAAAAAAATGACATCATTTAAAATTCATCTGGAAACACCTGGGAATATTATTGGTATCAGACAATAATGTGACTTTTTTTTAAATTACCTGCAGTACTGGGTGCCACACTCTGAGTGTTCTCTACAGCTGGAACCAATGGGCTTCATGCTGTTCCAGCGCCACAACAGTGAACGTTTGGTTCTATGGATCAAACCGTTCCAGTCTTCAGGCACAGGCATCGAACTAACCTATGGACAAATGTAAAAACAAACATCTGTAAATTAACTAACGTTTACCAGGTCAGCTCCAGCACATGTTCTGGTATGATTGCTTTTGGGTGAAATTGTTATAACTTACCTGAACAGTACACAGTAAAGCGAGTAAAACTGAGAGAACAGCGATCTTCTCCTGAAGAGTCTTCATGTTGTGTGTCAAAGTCAAAAGAACTATTTCTCTGCTGATCAGCGTCTTCTCTCACTACGTATTAAAGACTTTATTCAGATCTGGGAGGAGTTAGATTCTGTCAGATATTAAGATTAATTATTTATCAGTGTGATATCCACAGACCGGAGCCCAGTGAGGCAGATGGACTGACCTGAAGAGTCAAGTCAAAGTCAATGATGCTAACCTTTTGGTCTGGAAATACTTATCAGTGTTTAACGACAACAGAAGTTGCAGTTTATCTTCAGGAAGACAAAGTACACTTTACCCCAGTAATTGAGGACAACTCCACGTCGGAGGTATTAAAGTGAAACCTACCCATGTGTCACCTACGCGCAAAGTGTATACATTTTTTAAATTAATTTTAGTCTCAATATAGGGAATGGTTCAGTTCCATTTGGATCTTTATGAGATGTTGGCCAATACTTTACACTCTACTTACATTCGTTAGTCTAAAATTTTGTTCTTACCACAGTCTCACAATGTAACAAATCAAACTCCAAAGTTTGGTCCTTAATGAAGCTGAAAAATAAACCTCAGGTCAGCCTTCAATTTAAAAAAGCATTACTGTGTTACATATATATATATATATATATATATATATATATATATATATATATATATATATATATATATATGTAACACAGCTTAACCCCAGTGTGTGTGTGGATGAAATCTGAAACACGCCCGAGAATCACACTGAGTTTATTGAAGTGGTGAAAAGTCCTTGTGCAAACTATCAGTATGTGACCTAATGAGGATAAACTGTGGATTTCATGCTAATGCAACTTCTACTAGTGGTGTAAACAACATCACCTTTGACATTCAACAAACACAAACACAACAAAGTTCACATGAGGAAGCCAAACAATACAACTGCTTAATAAAAAAAATTAAAAAAATTACACTGGCCAAAACAACTATTATGGCTTATACCTGCGAAGGAAACTTTGGCAAACACTCATCAGTATAGTGCACGTTAGCAGGAAGCTGATAATACAACAGTTCCATAATACAGTCAGTGATACTATTATACACTCAAGCCATCCTACAGAAATAGCAACTGATTTGTTAGGTTATCCATACATATGACCGGTTGTCTTGTAAGGTTATAGGGTACAGTATTCTCATGCAGTAGAAGTCGCGGTACTTTACGGTAATGTTTTCTTTTCTTTTTTTATAAGAAAAATGGACTTCTGTGATTTCAGAATGCCAATGCAGTCATTTTCTGATTTGTAAGAAATAACACTTAAAAAACCAACAACATACAAACTCAAGGTGCAGACGATTCCCATTGTGCTTCCGCACATTTTTACAGACTGCTACGAAAGGGTCAGGACATTTGACACACTCCTCTGAAAGAACGTGCGCATTATACGAAGAGATTACGTGTGAGAGGTCTGAAATAAAATCAGTGCCGCAGATGAAAAATATCTGTATGTACACAGCACACAGGAGCACTGATGATGACACTGATGAGTTTAGGTGGAGGTCATGTGTGAAGTTCAACAGATCAATACACAAAACATAACTTAACCCATGGGTTCCTATTTCCATTTTAACATTTTCTTAATCTGTGGACACATTGCACTACTTTTGAGTTTTATTGTCTTTGCTTAATGAAAACAGTGATCTTTTAGGAATTAGAGTGTTTGTCTATAAAAACGTTCAGTGGAGTTTTGTGCCTATGTGGATTGGAGCAGGGGTAAAACCTCTGACCACAGACAGACACATTGGCCAGATGATGTCATCTGACCATTTTAAATAATCCTAATTGGCAACTTTGCAAATATTAATTAAAAAAAAAAAACAAACTAAAACTTCACTTTTGGGCCCCTGCTTTAAGAGAACAATCAATTTAAATTTAAAATGCTGTTTTTTAAAAAATAAAATAAAACAATGACATATGATTAAAGTAACAAATTGCTCTGAAAAGCAACATCAGCTTCATTACAAGTTCAAAATTAATAAACTAGTAGCAATGAACACTATAAAATAAAATCCGTTTTAAAAGGCATAGCTCTAGTTGGCATCTGAATACTATCAACAGGTTACTTGGAGATTTAGAGGTACAAAGCACAGAGCTGATGAAGGTTTAAAAGGAATTTTGTCCTCCTGTTCAGTGTTATGATGAAAGCAGGGGCTGTCGTTCGTCAGCAGTGCCCTGGAAAATGAAAAAAGGAAAGAGTTGATGACAAGATTCAACAATTTACATATTTATATTGCATATAAACTGTATATTTACCCATGATTAAAGGCAGATTGCCTATACTGTTAGTTATCACACAATTAAATACAAATATAACACGTATGTGTTAATCTTTGCCAGATTTACCTCAAGGACATTTTTCAGGTGTTTAATGTCTCACAAACAGTGAGTAGAGTAGCGTAGTGGCCTTTGACAACATTTTTCTTCATTCATATTTGCGTCTGTATCTAAATCAATTATTCTAAACCATAGGGCTGTGGTTCACGTTTGGGCCACGAGCCCCATAATTGGAACCTGAAGGCCGCAGGGACACATTGGTCATCAGTTTAAGACAATAGAGACAATACTACTGCTATCCATGAAAATGGGAGTTATAATACTGCTTTCCACCAATTCGGGGCGATAATGTGTCAGTCAAATGTTAAACGAGTTCCAGCGAGTCTGTCGTAAAAATGATTTAAAGTAAGTATTTAAAATGTACAACCTGTTCAAAGAGGATTTGAATTGTTATTACATACAAGTCAAATCAAGAGTCAAATCCAGGCTCCAGGTCAATTTGTACTGAAAAAATTCAATGTGTTTATAACTTCACCTCTGGGACCTTGAGTCGACACATGAGGACCATGAAGATTCCTCCCAGGAGGATGCCCAGACCGATGAGCATGAAGGGGATGTTCTCCACCACGTTCTTTACCACAGCAACGGCTTGCAGCGTAATGGCTGACGTGTCGTCAATGACAGCACTCTGAGAAGGTTGTGAAAGAGACCACATCTCAAAAATATTTCTCATCAACAAAGAGGAAGGGCTGGACAATAAACACAATACTGTATGTACCATTAAGTATCACAGAGAAGTGACAAGGACTGTTAAAATTGGAATTGTTCTCCAGAAACCTGTTTTTACCACATGACAAAAGTGTGTGTGTGTTTGTTCACATACCTCATTCAGATACACCACAGGAAAAACCACCGTCCTCACATTTCCTGTTTGACTGAAAACAAGAATAATATATATAATTAATATATATAATATTAATTGTGAAGGAATACAGTTGTTTGTGTGTGGTGATTTTAATCATAATTTTGAACTTCGAATTTTGATCCTATTTCAAAACTTGGCAAACCCAAGATTTAAAAAGATGCATTAAAATTAAAATAATTCTAATGTATATTCAGTAAATGTACTATTATTTCCCACTCTGGACACAAAGCTTTTGTTTGCTGTTTATATCTTCACAGGTGAACTGGCAGTGTCCAAAAGTCCATTCACAGTGATGATGGTGGCAAAGTTATTTCACTTATCTACTACGGACAACCTTGCCAACATGTACAGTCATACAGTTTCCCTTAAAGTCAATACAGGGAGGACTGTACCAATAAAACAAAAACATAAGCAGTATTTTTACTCCTTTACCTGAAGCTGGGGATCTTCTCCACGTACACGTTGACTTGGAGCCGCTTTGCTGCATGCAGAATGATTCCTGTCAGCTGCAAAAACAAACATGTTAACAGCAAGAATGAGGTTAAGTAGAAACTTAAGCTTAATAGCTTAAAACAAACTCAAACTCAAGGCCTGCAGAGCCAATGCAGCCCACCAAGTCATTTTGTGTGGCCCTCGGGAGCTTAAAAAGCATTTAATGGCCTTATGGCAGTACTTCTCAAAAAGTGGAGCGAGGTGCCAGGGGGGCCACGGGGGGAAGGACATAAGTGTACCACTGCTGTAATGCTTGAATGATAACGAGCCTCCGGTCACTAGGTGGCAGCAACTCATACAGTGGTTTGTAGCGATACAAAATATACATGTTATCAGTTTCTCTACAGTATTTCAATTTGCAGGGTTGAGGGAGAGGAGGTGCGGGGCGAAGGGGGGCGTGAAAACATTTGTCCCCCAAGCGGGGGCATGACAGAAAATAATTGAGAACCACTGGCTTAAGGTCCACTGCTGCTTCAGAGCGTACATAGAGCAGAAATTACAACAATGGATGTCATAATTAATATGTTAATATTAATTAATTAATATGTGTTAATATTTTACAATAGCAGTGATCAGTATGAACATTTATCAGATTTCTAGTGCTAATATTAGAAATTAGTGACTGTTTTATTAACACAACAATATATTTTTCTACACTGTTAATGTGACAGCTGTTGGTTAATGTTTGGTTCAAAAATGTAGGTTTTGGTGTTGATGGAAGCTACTTTAGTGCCATTTTCCAGGAAGTTTATTTCCTCCATGGGTCTGTACTCCCTGTGATGCCAAAACACAAGTAAGTTAGTTATTTATATACAAGTAAGTAAACCACAATTTATGAAACAGGAAAAGGGGATGGAGAAATGCATAGACCCTCGTTATGCAATTCTGGTTTCAAACAAAGCTGTTGTGTCAGCCAGAGCTGAGGTCAACAGTTGAAAGCTACACAGAGACAGGACCGCACATAATGAACTTATAATGTGCTTTTTTAAATATAATTCACACCCTTAACCATATTTATGACGTCTTGTCAAACAGGTTGTTACAATTCTTTTTACTAGGGCATTGAAGGCATCACTGGCCCTGTCTGTGAATAAAGAGCTCACACTACTGTTATCTTATAGCTTGTTTCACTATTTTACAGCCTATGAATTTAAAAATATTGGTAGGCCGTAAAGTTCAATTAATAAATGCTAGGAACAATATTATAATTGAAGGCTTTAAAATTAATCAGATAATGAAGGCCAAAATACTCTTATGGGGTTTTTTTTTTCCTGCTCAAGAAAGTCAAAGGTGCCTGGGTGTGACCTTATGCTGAGAACGTAGGTCCAACACTGTCAGCCAATCTTCAGCTACTATTGCTACAAACGATTGCCTGAACTGTATCAACATTTTTATCATTTCAATCTGCCTTATGTAAGGTGGTAGTGCACACACCCACGCACGCACGCACACACCCCATCAACCAGTGGTTGAAAACTGCTGAATGAAAAACCTAAAGTATATCACCACCTAGTGGTTAGATCGGAAAATACCAAACTGTACTCGTATGCACCTCAGAGTTCATGTACTTTTTACTTAGTCACATTCATGTATCATATCAAGTACATCAAGTTCATGTACTTTTTACTTAGTCACATTTATGAACACTTCAGCACTTTCATGATTCGTCTTTGACAAAGCTAGCCTTTAGACATGATTGGACGTTACTTTTTTTCTTAATTTTGGGTCAATTTTGGATTTTATTAGTGTAATTGAGGTTAACATTTAGTCAAGGTGTTAGCACTTTTTATGTATTATAGGCCGTTTCTGAACAAAGAGTTACACTTGGCTATTTTGAGTTAACTTTTAGCTTAATAAAAATGCCAAACCATCAAAAAAAAAATCAAACATTTTTTAAACCTGATACATAAAGACAGATCCTGTTAGAAGAAGGATGAATCAGAACACAGATGATCTGTAGTGTTTGGTTAAATGTCCAGTGGGTATAATGTACAGAATAATGGAAACAGGATGAGAGAAAAACAGCAGCCACTTACTGGGTTGATGTCAATGACAGTCTCATGGTGCTCCTTTTTGGGATTCATACCAAACACATCTTTGACAAATTTCTCATCCGCCTGGTAGAAGTGTGGTGAGGACATTATTATGGGAGCTCCTGCACACACAGTCAAAATAATATCACAGAGAGAGAGAAAAAAAGCAAGACTGGAATAAAAACAACAATTCTAGAAAATGTCCTAGACACCAGGGTCACGTCCCACCTTGTTTGCATACACTGACATTCAGAATTCCGGAGCCCAAACAGTTCCCAGCAGGAACACAGAAGCCTGCGTTTGCTGGGTTCACCGTGTCGTTAGCAAAGACCTCGCTGGGAGGCACAAAGCGATAACCGGGAATTCCCTTCACTGTCACATCCCCCTCATACAAGGCATAGATCGACCTGTGAACAGAGACAGCTGTTGGTTAATCTTAGGCAACAAATACCATATACAGTAGGGTTTGCATTGGATTCTCTAATGAGCTGATTCACTGAAAACATGTCTGCAGGC